ATAAGGATGGGTGGGATCTAAAGAACTCATTAGTTTATCCATGACTAAGACACAGGCTCCCCATTCCAGACTAAGTAACCATTACCAATATGTACAGGAGCAAGGAGGACTGGTACAGCAATGAGATTGAGGCAATCTACTCTAAGAAATAAAATAACATTGGCATTTTTCACCAGCCACCCTTGGTTCTACAGGGGGCTAGAATCTCTTTAAGCATGTCTGTCACCAGTAAATTGTTGATCGATATAGGGACCTCCTTTTATCCCCTGCTCCCAACCTGGTATCCTCCCCTGGTTTACTGCTACCTCATGCCTGAGCTAGGGAAACCTGGGGGATCCCTGCTTGTCCACTAGTCCCACTCCCACTGTTCTAGTCATGGTATTTCCCCATTGGGAATATCCTTTACAATCAAGACAATAATTACACACTTAAAACATCTCCTTCCACAATACACTAGCAGTATTCATTATAGTTTGCATATATATTCACCCCATGTTACATGAGTATTGGTACAATGTACAACCACCTCTCATAAAGTTTTGTATTCTCCATGTTGTCAGGTAGACCTTGAGAAAATGAATGTAGAAACTGTGTTCTTCAACTAGGGGCATAGTTCAGTGATCAAACTCTTGCCTAACATGCACAAAGTCCTGAGTTAGACCCCCAGAACTGTTAAAAAGAAAAGAAAAATATCCTCCACATTGAAAAGCTAGGGATACATAACCCTTATTTCATGTAAATAATCAAGCTTCAAAAAGCTTGTCTTATGTCTTGAGTAGTTAATGTCTGGCATACACAATAGACTATGTACCTTTGGCTCAAACTGAATCCATATGAAAAGGAAAAGTAAGAAGGCACAGTTAAACGTAAACTGCATTTTTTAACAACATTGAGAAGAAAGCACACTGTTTTCCAAAATCCACATGTGCAGCATGCTCAGTGGCCTGACATTATATCATTATATTAAAATAAATGCACTAGAGAAAATCCCTTGGAAAGAGAAAAAGAAACACAACAAAAGGGACAGGGAAAATTGAGTGGCCAGTTAGAAGAAAGGTTCATTCCCAAATGCTTGTATTGAATGGGATGTTAAACACACTCTCAGGTAAGACACTTGGCATAGGTTTTCTTTGGAGTTGAATTGTGTCTTCCAAAATTAATATGTTGAAATTCTAACATCCAGTATTTCAGAATATGATCTTGTATAGAAATAGGGTCTTATGTAAATAAGAAAGTGAAAGTTATTACAGGGATATTATGATTTGGATCTGGAATATCCCCAAAAGTTCATGTGTTATGCAACACAGCAACATTTAGAAGTGAAACTTTTAAGAAATTACTGGATCATGAGGACTCTGACATCACCAATAATTTAATCCATTTGATGGATTAATGATCTGGGTGGTAACCATAGGCAGATGGGACATGGATGAAGGAAGTAGGTCACTGGGGGTATATAGCTCAATGGTATAACATGCTTAGCATGTGCAAGGCTCTGGGTTCAATATCCAGCAGAGAAGAAGAGAGAAGAAGGCAGTCACATATGGAAGGTGACTGAAAACTTTTTCATCAGTGTAACCAAAATACCTTACAAGAACAATTCGAAGGAGTTTTCAAAAAGTTTATTTTGGCTCATAATTTCAATAGTTCAGTCCATGGTCAGTCAGCTCCATTGCTCTAAGCCTGAAGGGGCAGAGGGTTAGCAAGGATGGTGGAATGTGATGGACATCATTATTCAAAGTATATGTATGAAGGCATGAATTGGTGTGAACATACTTTATATACAACCAGAAATATGAAAAACTGTGCTTATATGTTTAATAAGAATTGTAATGCATTCCACTGTCATTTATTTTTTAAAAATCAATTAAAAATTTAAAAAAAGAATATGATGGCAGAAGGGCATGGTGGAGGGAAGCTGCTCAGGTCATAGCAGCCAGGAAACAGAGCAGAGAAACCAGGGACAAAATATATAATCCCCAAGGCACACCCCCAAGTGACCTACTTCCTCCAGTCATAACCTATCTGCCTATAGTTATCACCAAGTTCAGTAGTTCTTTCAAAATGGATCAATCCACTGATTAGGTTGAAGCTCTCATAATCTAATCATTTACCTTCTGCATTAACATGGGAGCTTTGAATGGAAACCTTATATTAAGACCACAGCACACTGAAATACCATTAATGCCTGGTCCTTACTCCTTGAATATACCATTTACAAATGGGTATTTAAAGCAATATTCACTTTTTTGGTGTTCTCATTTGGGACCCATCTGTAATAGAGAAGCCAGAGTTTAACACCTACTCTTGGCTTGTTACTCTCTCAAAGTTCACCAAACACCCACAAACAAGCCAGTAATAGTCTCTCAAATGTGGCATAACAGGTGGTAGTTTCAGACTAGTGCCACAAAAAAATCTAAATATGCTATTGAATAGTGTCCACATCTGTTTACCACAAGTTCCAATCTGCATAAATGTCAGCTACTAACAATTTAGCAGTCAAATGGGCTGCACAGAGCCTCCAGTCTATGCAACAGACTCAGTGACAAGGATGATATCTGGAAGGACAAAGTATAAGGAGGTATACTTCTAACATGGCACATAGAGTACAAAGTATTCTTGAATTTTTTCACAAACCAAATGAGGCTATAGTAGGGCATAATAGTCTTCTTAAGCACTTCTGCCACTACTTGTACCTTGATCAGTGTTGGGACATCTTTCATGTACTGCACATTGTGGAATTCTACTCTGCTTTATTGATACCAAATGACTTGACTGGTGAGTCCTAGTGGACTCCCAGGTATCCATTCATCCCACTACTACTGTTATAATCATGGCATTTCCCCATAGAGAATATCCATTACAAGTGAATTACACATTTTTAACACAAGTCTTCCAATAGTACATTCAGCAGTTACAATATCTTGCCTGGGAAGGCTCAAAAACATATATCAATCTAGTGTCCAATATGAGATTTATTTCCAAATTCTTTTTTTATGTTAGACTTATTTTATTTATTCTCTATTTTTATATTTATTCAGATTTTCACAGAATTGACACTTATAGAAGGACTCTAAAGAGATTGGTGGACATTTGAAATTTTCTTTGCATTGATAAGTATAAAGAAGGCTTATGAATTAACCATTGTTTTTAAAAGTTTGCATTAGGCAACCCTGATGAGCTTTTGTTAAAAAGTCTCTCTTTTCTCCAATGTATGTTTTTGGCACCTTTGTCTAGTATGAAGTAACTATTTATGTGGGTTTGTCTCTGTGTCTTCTATTCTTTTCCATGGCTTTTTGCCGGTTTCAGTGGCAATACCATGCTGGTTTTCTTACAATAGTTCTGTAATATAATTTAAGGTCTGGTATTGTGATGCCTCCTGCTTCAATTATTTCCAAATTCAAAGTAAAATATTGGCTGTGTCCAGGGGAAATTCTTACTAGCACAGTGACTTGTGCTACATGATCTTGAAGCTGTAAAACAGTTTAGTATCTTTGAGTGTCATTATGTCTTCATCACACATGATGAGTACATGAGGCCTCCAATTCCAGATACATAAGGAGGAACTTCAAATGTTTGCCTAAAGCTCTTTGTTCTTAAAAGAATAAAGAACAGAATAGAAAAGTAGTGTTAAAGGCATTAAATTAATTACCTTCAGAATAGTCCAAACCTCAACAATGGGTACTAGGTCTTCCAGATAACCCACCTGCCATTAGTAAAGCAGACAATGCTTACTTGGCTTGGAACATGAGGCTCTCAAATTCTAGTCAAGTTGCCAAGCACAAATATTCTCACTGAGTATTTAGCCAAACTTACTATTCACTATATGAATACTTTTCTTCATAACTGTCTGCCTTTTTTCACCAGATAATCAATGAGATCTCCAGGATCCTATACCATATGGCTAGCTGACATGCAGATTCATGCCTGTATGACTCTAAAAAGGAATTATGCCTTTATCAGCTTCCAGGAAGAGATAGTTTTTAAAAATCCCATAAAAATGACTCTCAAGGCTGAGGCAGGAGGAAATTGCAAGTTCAAGGCCAGCCTCAGCAACTTAGAAGAGCACTCAATAACTTAGCAAGACCCTGCCTCAAAAATATAAAAAATTAAAAGGGCTGGGGATACAACTTAGTGGTAAAGTATTCCTTGGTTCAATCCTCAGTACCCTCCCCCAAAAAAATTCCATAAAATCATTCTCTCAAAACCAGGTAGGGCAAAGCCCCATGTAGTTTTGCCTTTAGATTAAAAGAAACAGGCAAATCTCCCAGTAGTTTTGTGATAGGAACAAGGTTTCTCTAGGAAATATAAATTTTTTTAGTTTGTAGAATACAGGAGTAGTTTTCAGCACACAGAATTCAATGAGTGAGCTCACATACATTATTTCAAAGTAATTGGAAGTTGAACCCTAAATTTTATTGCAGATTATATGTGTCCCTCACTGGTGGAAATCCAAGAACAGAGAGATTGATACTTTCAACATGCCAATCAACAAGAAACATAATACAATGAAACTTTGGGCAGAAAGGAACTTTTTTCTCTGAAACTATAGAAAAATTCACATTTTAAACATATAATATATACAATACCCATTATTGCACAGTGAATACAATGAATCAGGTCACAGGATCCTTATAACAAAATCACTTATAATTCTGCATCTTTTCCTTGAATGTTCTCTTAGCTGCATTTAGTTATTTGTTACAGAAACATAACCCAGAAATATTTTTACAAACACTATAACACCAGTTTCCAGGATATACCATCCATTCTCCTTGGTTGGAAGGATAGGTTTGAACATTCACTTTTTAGGCCACACACTAGGCCTAAAAAATGCATATTTATCAATAACTAGGCATCAAATTTGTAGGTATTTCTGTGGTTCTGGGGATTGAACCCAGGGCCTTGTGCATGCAAGGCAAGCACTCTACCAACTGAGCTATATTCCCAGCCCAATAGGTATTTTTAATCCTACCTCTTATTGCCTACCTTTCCTAATTATTTTACTAAAGATAGTACATAACATCAGATGCTAGAGAATCTATCTTACCCTAACTTGGTCAACACATCTTGGAAGAGTTTGAAAAATGGGAGGACCATTATGAAAATCCCAGCCTGTAAACAAAGAACATGAAACACAAATTCAGGGAGACTTAGGTCTCACAATATGGCCCTTGCTGCCCTTCTAGATCTTGGAAACTTTTATGTCTTCTGACCCTTCCCTTTTCTGTTCTACCAGATCAGTGAGTCTCTTCTCATTCAATAAGCTAGCCACTGCAATCTCAGGTGCCACAGATCTCAGTTGCCTTATGCATCCTTACATGGAACAAGTAACTCTTCAATGTGGGAACCCTATCTCCCCTCTAGTCCATGAATAGGATAGAGTATATGCTATCAGATATTGCTAGCCAGAAACCTGGCCAGCATGACCTGTCTCTAATAAAAGGGCATCATACATTTATTGGTCATATGTTCAAGGCCAAATTTGTTAGCTTTTTCATAAGGATATGCAAGGTAGAGGATATGTCCCAACTCATGGTTCTAGCAAAAAGATAAACCACCACATTTACAATTAGACACTTTTACTAGTATTAACTGAATTAGAGTAAATTATATTCCATGCTTTTATAATTATTCCAAAATGAATTCTGATGTTATATATAACTGAAAAGAATCAATTAAAAAAAGAGAAAGACAGCATTAAAAAAAGGAACAAGTCAAAACTGCCATTTCCCCCATGATCCTTATGCCACACATCAGAGAAGACACATAATAAGTAATAAAAATTACTTCAATGTAGTTTGTAAAATACTCTTGTGGAGGAACCACTTCTAGACTTCAACTTAGTAGTAGTTTTCTATTCACAGCTATATACTCACATGAGAGCAAGGAAGAAATTCCTGTATCTCAGTAGACCCTGAAGGATGAGGAGAAAACAGCTTCATTAGTAGGATGGTTGAAAGGACTGATCCATGTTATATATATCACTTATATTCCCTGGAGTTAATAGTGACACAGGCATGGTATCTGATTTGGTAGTTAGAAAGGTGAAGCCTGAGGAGCTTCTGCCAGAAAGCACAAAAGGATGCTGTCTGGGAAGAAATCTTCACTTCCATCAGCTGCAGAACAAAGAGCTAGGTTTGCCAAGATGAACCTGCAGACTCTGAGAAAAAGGTATTTTCTCTATTATCATGAGGGAGGAATGATTTCTGATAGGCAATGGTATAGCCACTGCAGAAAACATTTTGGCAGGTCTTCTAAAATCAAACATAGAATTACCATATGACCCTGCAATTCTAGTACTAGTTGTACCCAAGAAAATTTAATATATGTTCACACAAAAACTTATTCTCAAATGTTCATAGCAGCGTTATTCACCAGGCCAAGAGTGGAACCAAATGCCCATTAGTTAATTAATGGTTAAAGGAAATGCTTGTATGATAGAATATTATTCACCCATAAAAAGAAAGGCAGATTGGTACATATTGCAACATAGATGAACTCTGAAAACAATTATGCTAAATGAAAGAAGACATTTTCAAATGATGACATGCTGCATAATTCCAAGGAGAGAAAATTGTCATGAGCCAACTGTAGGCCATGTGTGGACTATGCTGTGCATATAGCCTAATAAGTCTGGCATTAGGAACCTCCCATGACACCCCCACAGGGATTGATCGCCTGATGCAAGTGCCCCCTCAAGCTCTGCCAGAGATCCCACACAGTACCTGAGATGGATGTGACCTGCCAAGATGTCAATCAACCTGCTGACTGAAAGATAGCATGAAGCAAGACTCCACCATTAAAACTTTATTCCTGCCTTTGATGTCCCCTGATATAAATAAAGCAAGTGCAGCTCCATTTTGCCAGAATAGAGAAGCTCAAGCCATCAAACAGGACAGGGTAGCCCACTTTTGAAACTACTTTCTGTGTCCTGTGGTTTTTTTCATCCTTCTATTTTTCTTAGCTTTTATTTCTCAGCCACCCCATTCCACTGAGGGGAACCCCATTTAATGTCTACAATAGGCAAGATCATAGAGCCAGAAAATAAATTAGTGGTTGTGAGATAATGGGGAAAAGGGGAAACTGAGAGTGACTGCTGAGAGGAACGTGGTACCATTTCTTGGGTGACAGAAATATTCTGGAATAAGATAGTGGTAATTGTTGTACAATGCTGTGATTATACTAAAAACCTCTGAATTGTACAATTTTAAATGGTGAATATTATGTATGTCAATTTTAAAAAACTGCAAAATCATGCCAAGTATGGTGGATCACAGCTATAATCCCAGTGACTTGGGAGGTTGAGTCAGGAGTATGGCAAATTCAAGGCCAGTCTTGGCAACTTTGTGTGACCCTGTCTCAAAATAAATTTTTAAAGAATTTTAAGCCTAGGAATGTAGTTCAGTTGTAAATAATCCCTGGGTCCAATCCCCAGGTGCCACAAAAAAACCTACAAGATAAAATAATAAAAAACATTTATTAAACTCAAAGTTTGTGTGGGTCATGAATTTAGGAATAAACTCGCACAGTACATCTCATGAAGCTAGAGTCAAGATATCAACCAAGGATGTCTTATTGAAATGACTGCATCTGGACAATCTGCTTCCAAAGTTGTACCATCACAAGACTGGCAGAATAATGCTGGTAGATTTTGGAAAACTTCAGATTCTTCCCACAGGAGTGTCTCTGGAAGCTGGAAAAGTGTCCACACAACTTGGTGGATGATTTCCCCCAGAATGACTAACTCCAGTGAAAGACAAACACTATCCTCTTTTTATGACCTACCTTCAGAAGTCACAAAACATTATTAACACTGTATATATGCATTAGAAGTAAGCCCACAAGTCCAGCTTAGAACCTAAGGAAAGGCTTCACATTTATCCTAACATTTTAATTTGATCACATGAGGAAGGCATTATTCTGACTCATCTACAGATGAGTAAACTGAGGTTAGAGAGATCAAATACATTTCCCAAGATCATAGGATCAACAGGTGCCCGAGCTCTTTTATTTACTGATTGATTAACTTTTATTTTTAGCAGTGCTAGGGATTAAACCCAGGGCCTTGCACATACTAAGCAAACACTCTACCACTGAGCTACACTGTCAGCCCCTAAGGCTCATTTTTTAACCTACAAACAGTTACCCCACACCTGTGCCCTTAACCTCCATCAATGATCTATCTATCCTTTCTTCCATATTTCTGCCCTCCCTTATTTACTTCCTCCCTTCCTTTTGAGACACCACATTCCCAACTCTATTTTCTACTTTTTGTTTGGAGACAGGGTCTCTCTAAGTTACCAGGCTAGCCTCAAACTTTTGATCCTCCTGCCTTCAGCCTCTCAAATCTCTGGGATTACAGGCATGTGCAACTGCACGAGGCTTCAGTGGTGTTTCTTAACCAGACATGCCCATGTGTGAAACCAAAGATACATGTGCCCCAAAGGACCAGTTAAATCATTCATAGGGCTGAGGTCTAAGCATGTGAAAGGAATTTAAGCTTCCTGAGTAGTGCTGGGGTGCATCCTAGATTTAGAACTGTTCCCCTGAGCCACATGATTTTATATTACTAATATAGACAACTGATTGCTTGATAATATATACTTTGATATATATACTGAGGACAGAGACCCCACTTCAAGCTTCCTCATGGAAGCTATAGTGACAGCACTATAGAGGCAGGTACCCCGGAAGGATTAATGAGAGAAGGATTATGAGCAACTGCCACCCAGAGTGGGTATTGCTAGGAGTTTCCAAGGGGACAGAAGGATGCATAGGCTGTGCCTGGAAAATGGCCAACCTGGTCACTTTCTCCAGTGCAGGAGATTCACTGGGGCCCACCTAAAGCCAGTGACTGCTGCAGACAGAGCCATCTCAATCCAGCCCAGAGTAAAAGGGATATCGGGCAATTTGTCCAGTATAAGTTTGGTCTCTCTCAGTGCCAAGTGGACCCTTGTTTGGGGGTGATTTGAGGGGCCCTATATATACAAATCCCCATTGTATCTAAATAATATCAAAGAACTTCAAAATTAACACTAACAACTGGCCCCCTTTGGTGCTATATGTTCCATGGTAGCAGTGCAAGTACTCTACAGAAGCTTTTGTACAAAGATGTATGCAGAACAATACACTTGGGACTTAAAATCCAGCGGGAAAGATTTTATCAGCAATGCTTCTGCCTAAAGTCTTTTTGGCCCTTTGGCTGGGAGGGGCACCAGAACACTAGGTCCTCCTGGAAGAAGACATTAGAACTAATGGTAAAGAGGTCCTTCTTACCCTACCAACAGTTGTAAGTTGTTGACTTCTCAAATGAAGAGTTCTTTCAGGCCTGAGATTGGTGTTTCAATGCTATTTGAACAGACTACTTTTTTGAGACAACTTTCATCAGTATTTTCTTCAATAGGTTTGAACCCAGTATCTTTACCCTCTCCAAAAGTGAATTTCAGATATTTCACTTTTCCAGAATTGTTTTTCTAATTTTAGAGACATGAGCTTATTATAATAATCCAGTCACTGTGAAAGGACAAAATGTAACCTTTTGCTACCATCTAGTGGAACTACTAAGCTTTACATGGAAACACTTTTTGCCCTAACAATCATCCTACTGTTTCAGCCATCACCAGAAAATACCCCTAATGAAAACATAAAGAGATGTCCCTGATGTCCATCTTGACAAGAGCCCTATCCTTTTTTATGTCCTGTGATGGACACCACCTACAGATCCTCTGAACTGAGTTTACAATAGCCACAAGTAACATAAAGTTTATGTGTCCATAAGAATAATTGCAATATTTAAAGTTATTAGTAGATGACAGAAAGAACAAAAGGAGCTAAAAGAAATTCAGAACTTCAATGTGATGACCTTTCAGACTTCTCTATTCTGAAGACATGAGGTCAGCCAATGGAGAGAAAGTAGCTCCAATAATTCTCTAATCCATACAGAATCTGGCTAGAATTCTAAGCTGCTATGTGAGGAAGAGAAAGCTAGTTATTGATCAATATTCATACTCTCCTTCTTTGACATAATTGGAAAATTACCTGAACAAATGGCCAAGCCCCATGATATAGACCTTAGCATCCTGCTCTTGACCCTCCTCCTAAGAACTAAACATGGTGGTAAGCAATCCAAGAAACAAGCTAGCTGCCCAATATCAGCCCTAGAATTCCCACCCAGAATTTTATATGAGAAACTCTTTATTACATAGGACACTGGCATAATGAAAGAGGTTAAAAGAGGATATATGGATGAAGACATCATCTTCACACTGGCAAAGGCAGGACCTAAGATGAGAAGAAGTTTTAAGACAGATCTCTGGAAAATACCAGAACTTAGAGAATACGAGGAATAAGACTAGTCATAGAGGGAAAAATAAAAATAACTGGATGTACAACAAAGGAAACTAAAAGTCATGGTGACAGAAGAACCATCAATCCTATTGGAAAGAAGGTGGCCTGGGAAAGGACATGTGGACCTGTACAACTTTGGAATGTCAGTATAACCAACTCCCTTTGGCTGTTTTTTTGTTTCTTTTTACAATCCTCCCAACCCACATTGTGCCCAGATCATCCTTATGGCTTATTAATTCCTTCCTCAAATACCTTGTACCATTCTAGAATATCTTCCACCTTCAGGCATGTAGCCACACCAAGAAAAGTGTATTAATTATCATTTCATATTCACCATAATCATCACTATTATTCATACTTTCCCACAGCCAACAAACATGACTAAGTAGAATAAGAATTAATCAGGTTAGAGTCCACCACATCCCACTTTGTAATATGAAAATTCATTGTCCAGGGCTGAGGTTGTGGCTCAGAAGTAGAGCACTCACCTAGCATGTGCAAGGTCCTGGGTTCAATCCTCAGAACCACATAAAAATAAATAAATTAAATAAAGGTATTGTGTCCAACTACAACTAAAAATTAAATATAAAAAAAAGAAAATTCATTGTCCAAAGGTGAGCATGGGGAGAAAAATGAAAAGGAGAAGAATTATATAGTATGGGTCTGTTACAGCTAGTCTGAACCTCCATTTCTGACTCTAAACTCATAATGAAATGCTAGATTTAAATGGGAGTAGACTTCTGGATAAATGCCATATTTAGAACTCAAATAACATTCTTATGTGTCTACACCACTGATACTTGAGCACTAGTTTGCTCTTTTTTATTTCAGTTTCTTTAAGACTCTATGCCACCCTTCAAAGGCATCTTCTAACTGTGGAGATATGGAGCATGAACAGTTCAGCAAACATCTCAGGTAACTTCTCCAATTCTGGATACACTTTGCACTAAGGGTGCCCCCATTATCTGATTCAATGTGATCAGTGAATCCAAATATACTACACAGTACAACTAAGAGTCCTTGCATAGAATTCAACCATCATAAGATAGTTTTGGCAATGCCATAGTCAGAAAACAAATCTACTTTCCATCAATACCTCTGAAAGGATGACATGGTACCATCCACCTTCTATGCACAGGAGCAAGCAATATACTTCTAGCTATGCTATTTATATCCTCTATACTTGACTGTGCAGATGGCATATTGGACACAATTGTCAGGCTTCCTTAGACCCACATCCTAGAATCACTAGATAGTATTTGGGGACTAAGTCCCAAATTATAGATAGATACCATACCTTGTTGTATATAGTCTATCCAAATGGCCATAGTCTTAACCTGGGAAATGCAGGTATAATAAGCCTATTGATTCTACCCTTTTTCAGCACTTATAAAGTCTTTATCCATGCACATCCATACAGGACACAAACAAGAGTCGTTGATCTCATGTAACTGAATGATAATGTTTGCCCATAACACAATAAGGAAGTCATGTTTGACACCACAGAGACTGACACTAGTCATTCAGTCATTTCATTGCCAGGCACAAATCCACATTGTCAGCCTGTAGGTGCCTGCCCAGCAGTCAGTCAACATGTAACAAGGTGCATTAGGGGCTGTTTTCTATGGAAAACAATACATCTCAAAATCCACCTCAAATTCCTTCTTCCATGCACAGGAGCAAACAGTGTCTTCTGGGATCCTTCAGCTTCCACTGCCCTTCACTTAGCCGATATTCAAGAAAATTATGCAGGTATCCTCAAGAACCTGGGCATATTGAAGTCAAAAGAAGGTAGAAGTGCTGACACAGTCCCCGTATCCAAGACATCCTCGCGTCTAGAGTGGTACAGGACACTTTATCCTGTACCTCTGATATTGCATGGTTTATATTTTCAATTAAAACTGGATAACTCTAGAGCAATACACACTTGTTAGACAAAGAGCAGTGTGAACAACACAGATCTTGGCATGGGTTCCAGGTCTCTCCATCTTCCTCCTATTACTAGCTAGGTAGTTTTAGCCAGACTGTCACTGAATGTGGGTCAGTCCTTGGGCAACTGTGTGATTTCCACACCTCCTTCTCCAGCAAAACTGCAAGGATCCCTAGCTGGAGATGCAAACCTCTATAATCTTGTACTTTTGCTCAAACATGTGTGTATGATATACACGTGTCTTACTATGTTGTATTGTCTGGCCTCTATCTCAAGCTCCTCCTGCCTTAGCCTGCAGCTGGAGGAGGAACCTAAAAGTCATAGCAACAGAAGGACCATCAATCCTATTGAAAAGAAGGTGGCCTGGGAAAGGACATGTACCACCATACCTGGTTTAAACCTACACTTCAATGTCACTTCCTTCCTGCTCCTTGTCAGAATGGTCCTCAATGCACAATTAACCATCTATGATCAGGAGGGATTATTTTATCTATGGACATGACCACTAATCAAAATAAGCAAACTCCACATCCCAGTGACACAGGAAGGAGGGAAAAAACAAATGAATGCTTTTCTTGGATGTATGGGTTTCTCTTCTTTGAAACACCTACACAAGTCAAAAGAGATCTCAAGGACAAAGGCCAAAAATATCTTCTTGTCACCAAAGACTTTAGCAACATGGTCTGTGACTGTACATCAATATTTTAGATGCTACAGTGTTTTCTATTCAGCAGCTCTATTCTTGGGACTGGGGAACAGCAAAATGCCCTGTGTTTTTAAAAAAAGGCCATAGAGTGGAAAGGAAAGTGCTTCATGACAACCTTTCAAGGGAGAGTTGGACATGGTCTTTGAGGAAATATTTCACAGACCTCACATCCTCTCTTGTTCCAGAATGTGATGTAGACCTTTTGCCATGCTCAGATGAGCTGTGCTATAAGATTGCCCCTATATGGTCTATATGGATATGTGCAAGGTCATCAAGACAAAATGTGTATGCAATGCTGTACACATGGATAATATCAGGACTTTCTCCACTAGGGACACCCATAAGTCAAAAGATCTTCCATTGTAGAGGAATCTGGTGCTGCCCATCAGCCACCATGTATTTCTCTGCCAAACTCTTACTTGTATGACTGGAGACTCACAATGGATATGGGGATGAGGGATGAGATGCAAGACTAACAGCTTCAGTAAGTTTCAATCATAACCCAAAGTTAGAAGAATATAAAGACTAATACATGAAAAGGATCAGAGACTAGACCTACCCCATCGGAATATACAAAAGGAAGCTGACCAGGGAATGAACTGCCATTCTACCTCCTACAGAAGGAGATTTTGTTTTCTCCATGTGGATCCTGAGAAAATGAGTTAATATCACAAAGCAATAAAACAGTGTGGTACTAGTATTAAAATAGACATAAAGACCAATGAACTAAAATAAAGATCCTAGAAATAAACCTATACATATGTGGTCAACTAATCTTCAACAAATGTGTCAAGAATACACAATGGGGCAAGGATAGTCTCTTCAATAAGCAATGTTGGGAAAACCGAATATATACACACACACACACACAAAGAATGAAATAGACCCTTATCTTATATAATACACAAAAACTGACATAAAATAAATGTAAGACTCAAAAGCATAAAACTGCTAGAAGAAAAACATAGGGGAGAAACTATTTGACATTGGTTTTAGAAGTGATTTTTAGGATATAATGCCAAAAGCACAGGCAACAAAAGCAATAAAAAAGTGACACTGTGTCACACTAAAAAACATCCTGAAATAAAAAAGTGACTCCGTGTTAAACTAAGAAAACAAAGAAAACATTCAACAAATGAAAGTGTAACCTTCAGAATGGGAGAAAATATTTGAAAACCATGTCTTATAAGGGGTAATATCCAAAGTATATAAGGAACTACTACAACTTATCAGCAAAAAAAAAAAAAAAAAACTCTTGTGGCTCAGCGGTACAGCGTTCACCTAGCATGTAAGAGGCCCTGGGTTCGATCCTCAGCACCCATATTAAATATTAAATAAATAAATAAAATAAAGGCATTGTGTCCAACTATAACTAAAAAATTTTAATAAAAACTCTTGAATTAAAAAAATAAGAAAAGGACCTAAACAAGCATTTAAAAAAAAAGAAGATATATGAAAGATATACGAAAAGGTGACAGCATCTCTAATCACCATGGAAATGCAAATTAATATCACAAAATCACGGTGAGATATCACTTCACACCTATTATAATAGCTGTTAACAAAGAATCAAAAGTTAACAAATGTTGTCAATGATATGGAAAAAAATATTTTCTCCCATTCTGAAGGTTACACTTTCATTTTGTACACTGTTGGTGAGAATGTAAACTGGTACAGCTATTATGGAAAATAGTATGGAAGTTCCTCAAAAAATCAAAAATAAGACTACCATCTAATTCATCACTTATATACCCATCACTTCTGGGTATATAACCAAAGAAATTTAAAAAACAAAATAACAAAACAAAAAACATTAAAAAAACAAAAATAAAAAACAAAGAAATTGAAATCAGTATCACACAAAGAGAGCTACATTCTCATGTCCACTGAAGCATTATTCATAATAGCCAAAATACAAAAATAAAATCTAAGTGTTCATTAATGGACAAATAGATAAAGAAAATGTAATGCATATTACAATGGAAGATTCAGCCTTAAAAAAGAAATAAATCCTACCGTTTGCAATAACATGAATAACATTATGCTAAGTGAAAGAAGACAGATACAGAAAGACAAATACTGCATGATCTCACTTCTATGTGGAATCTAAAAAAAAAAAAATGAACTCAAAGAAACAGAATCGAAGGATGGCTACCACAGGTTGCAGGCAGGGAGAAGAAGGTGATGTTGGTCAAAAGGTACAAATTTTCAGTCAGTCGAAATGAATAATTTCTGGAGATCTAATGTATAGCATGGTGACAAAAGGTAACAATATTGTACCATATACTTATTATTTGCTAAGAAGATAGATTTTAAATCTTCTCAATACATACACATAGGTAACTTTAAAGGTAGTGGTTATGTTATTTGGATCTATCATGATCATTTCACAACATAACGTATTAAAACATCAAGTTGTACCCCTTAAATATATTCAATTTTATATGTCAATGGTAACTCAACAAAGCTACTTTTAAAAGTTTATCTTATATCCCATGGAATCAGCAAAAAACAGGGATTAACAAATGAATGGGGGCTAGAATGCCCATGCTAGAAAATATAATAAGAGAATGACTTGAGAGTGAACTGTACCTCTACCACATGCACAAGAAAGAACTGTTTTCCAATGTCCAAATGTGGAGTTATGAAGTTGAGTAACTGTATTAAAAGCACCCAAGAGGAACCCCTGCAAAGAAAAGAAGCATGACAAAGAGATGAGTCACAAAATGCTAGTGTGAAATAAATGGGAAGTCCTACACATGCTCTCTCAGGAAAAGAGATTTTTCAGAGGCTTTACCATGGGTTGAACTGTGTTCTCTGAAAATTTATATGTCCAAACACCCAGTGTCCCAGAATGTTACCTTATTTGGAGATAGGAACTTCACGGAGATAATCAAGTTCAAATGAGGACATTAGAGTGGCCCTGTTCCAATATGACTAGTGTCCTTATAAGAGGAAATTTGGATACAAATACAAAGAAAGAATGCCATGTTAATGGGAAGATAGCCATCTATAAGCCAGAGAGGAGCATGGAACAGATTCTTCTCTCACAGCCCTCAGAAGGAACCAACCAACTCTGCCAGTGCATTGATCTTTGACTTCTAGCCACCAAAACCATGAAAAAAAATCTGTTGTTTAAACTACTGGGTTTGTGAAACTTTATTACAACAACCTTATAAGAGAAATATAGGCTTTGAAGGTCAAGACAATAAATGTCAAATACTGCCATAATTTAAAAAGAGGTACTAGGATAGCTTGCAAAGAAATGGAAACAATGATATGTGGCATTATCATTTATGTGTGATAAATGAAAAAGTGGAACTCTTTAAACAGAGATGTGTGGTTACTAGGGTGGAATTAATCAGAAGATATTGGTCAAAGGGGACAAACTTTCAGTTATAAGATGAATAAATGATGAATAAGTTCTGGGGAGCTAAAGTACAGCATGGTGTCTAAAGTTAATAATAATGTATTATATGTTTGAAATTGCCAACAGAGTAGATTTTTTATTTTTATGTTTTAGTTGTAGATGGACACAATGCATTTATTTTGTTTACTTATTTTGATGTGGTGCTGAGGATCGAACTCAGTGCTTCACATATGCTAGGCAAGCATTCTACCACTGAGCTACAACCCCAGCCTCACAGGGTAAATCTTAAGTGTTCTTACTACAAAAAAAAGTACTATGTGAAGTAATAGAGATGTGAATTAGCTTGCGTAATAATTTCACAATGTATACCAAATCATTACATTTTATGCCTTAAATATTTACATTTTTTACTCATCGATCATAATTCAATGATGATCAAATTTTTCAAAGAAATGGTTCTCTGACTTAGGTTAGGACCCTAATATAACAAAGAAGCTGTGATATTTAATATCAGAAGCTATGCTAAAGTTTCACATTTATCATTTCATTTCAATTTCATACATAATAAGGTTATGAAATATCTCTCATGGATATTTGAAAAAATGAGCCTCAGAGAGAATAAATACCCATCCCAATGACACAGACATGATAAATGGCAGGCATCTACTGTAAGGAAGAATAATTTTTTCAGTATTTGTATTGAAATTATTTGGATTGTATTATTCTGGGGTTTTTTTCTTTTTAATATTTTTTAGTTGTAGTTGAACACACAATACCTTTATTTTATTTATTTATTTTTATTTGGTGCTGAGGATCAAACCCAGTGCCTTGCACATGCTAGGCAAGCACTCTACCACTGAGCCACAACCCCATCCCCTTTTCTTGTTTTCTTTTTTTATTTTTTTTCTTAGTTATACATAACATCAGGGCTTATTTTGACAAAATTATAAAGGGTTGGGTTTCTACCTGCCTGAAAGTGACCACAGTACACTTTGTTGACAGTAACCAAATCACTATGGGAACACCTAAGATTTCTTCCCATACCTGGGAAGAATAGATTCCTAAGCTAATTATTATACATAAAGAGAAGAAAGTTACTTTATCTTTATTCCTGTGAAAGCAGTTCAACAATAACACAATCACAAGCATGGTGAACAAATTTCCATTTGAATACACTACCAAAAAACTGGACAGCAAAGAGGTTATGAAGACTGCAAGACAGATACCATGTTTGTATAACTATGTCAAAATATACTCTACTGTCATATATAACTAAAAAGAATAAAAAACAAAGACATTTCACAAGAAATTAAAGATATTTCTGCTCTTACCCTTTTCACTATCAACTGTTTTATTTTAGCCTTTAGAACCAAATACATTCTTTTTCCAAACTGCATTGTGACTTTAGCAGCCTCTTAAATGAAGAAGTTAAAAATTCCATCAAGTAAATTTTTCAAAAGCACTTGCGGTTAACTTTTGTGCATGGCGAGAGAAAGGGATTCAGTTTCATTTTGTTGCATATGGATTTCCAATTTTCCCAGCACCATTTGTTGAAGATGCTATCC